GAGTTAGAAGGCTAGCCATTTCGAGATTGATATAGATTCTAGAAATCATGATCTTGTAAGCTAGAGTGTACTTGGAGATTTTATGATATCAGAGAGAATTTTAAAGATTTGATCTTCAGATTTTGATGGTATCGGATGTGATATGATAAGTTCCGAGCCTTGTGTACTTGTGAGACCCGTCTCACGAGTGTACGGCGTTTGTCGCGCCTCGAATTTGGGTTTTGGGGCATGACAATCATGGTCTAATTACTATCAATTTCATCCCCATTTTCTAGCCAAATTCAGACATCACAAAGCAGCCACTAATCAACCAATTTTTGAGAATTAGAGAAGCCAACCTACCATAAATTTTCCAGTTGCAAAACCGGACTTGGCAGGGGGAGAAGCCGGCGGCAGTGCAGGGGAGAAACTCACGGATCTACCCAAAATTGACGGAAATAAGAGCAATCAAAGTTAACCCAAGCCAATTCAAGGAAAAACAAAGGGATTTAATGGCTATTTCTTACCCAAAACCCAAGCAATTCGCCCCCACAACAAGAGCAGCCGGCGGACAGAACAAAGCAGAGCAGATCCGGTTTCTACAGAGAGGGAGGGGAAATTTCTGGGTTCTAGGTGTGTTGTAGAGCAAGAAAAGAAGGAGAAAACCAAGCTTATCTCACCGGTTTCTCGAAGGCATGGCTGGGTTCCCCTTTTTTTTTTCTTCGGGTGGCTGCAGCGGGAAGAAGAGCAGAATCGGGTCTGAGGAGGAAGAAAAGAAAGAAAGAAAAAGAAAAAGAAGGAAGTTGATCCTTATCCTAAAATCTTTCCCTCTTTAAGTCCCTCAACTTTTGAAATATTCACATTAGGCCCCAAAACAATCTTCCCTTTTCTTACATATTTTAAGTCATTATTTTAAGTAATTATTTCAAGTATATTTTATTTTTTTATAAATGCATTTATTTTGAATGGTAAAATATATTTTTGTATTATTTGGTAATATTATGTAATTATTAAATAAAATAAACCTGTTTTCTTTATTTTTTATTGCTTTATTTTTCTTTAAATGATATATACGGATCGATCCCGGTCCGTATATAGATATACGGACCGAGATCGGTCCGTATATTCCCTGAACAGCAACTTTTTTATTTTTTTTTCTAAGTTACATTTGGTGAACTTCAAAATTTTTCATGTATAATATAATTAAACTTTTACATATTTTAAGTCATTATTTTAACTAATTATTCCAAGCATATTTTATTTTTTTATAAATGCATTTATTTTTAATGGTAAAATATATTTTTGCATTATTTGGTAATATTATGTAATTATTAAATAAAATAAATCTGTTTTCTTTATTTTTTATTGCTTTATTTTTCTTTAAATGATATATACAGACCGATCCCGGTCCGTACATCCCAGTCCGTATATTCCTTGAACAGCAGCTTTTTTATTTTTTTTCTATGTTACATTTGGTAAACTTTAAAATTTTTCATGTATAATATAATTAAACTTTTACATATTTTAAGTCATTATTTTAAGTAATTATTCCAAGCATATTTTATTTTTTTATAAATGCATTTATTTTGAATAGTAAAATATATTTTTGCATTATTTGGTAATATTATTTAATTATTAAATTAAATAAATCTGTTTTCTTTATTTGAATAAATCTGTTTTTTTTTTTTCAGGTTACATTTGGTGAACTTTAAAATTTTTCATGTATAATATAATTAAACTTTTATATATTTTAAGTCATTATTTTAAGTAATTATTCCAGGCATATTTTATTTTTTTATAAATGCATTTATTTTGAATAGTAAAATATATCTTTGCATTATTTGGTAATATTATGTAATTATTAAATAAAACAAATCTGTTTTCTTTATTTTTTATTGCTTTTTTTCTTTAAATGATATATACGGACCAATCCCGGTTTGTATATAGCTATACGGACCGATTTCGATCCGTATACATATATACGGACCGAGATCGGTCTATATATTCCCTGAATAGCAGCTTTTTTATTTTTTTTTTCTAGGTTACATTTGGTGAACTTTAAAATTTTTCATGTATATATGTTTATACTTACCAAATAAGTATGATTTTTCATGTATATATGTTTATACTTACCAAATTTTTCATGTATATAGGATAAAAAATCCCTCGGAGTGCCTATATTCGGACCGATACCGGTCCGTATATATCTATACGGACTGAGATCGGTTCGTATATGCCCCTGAACAATAGCTTTTTATTTTTTTTGTTATTTCATGCTTAAGTCGTTCTACTCTCATTTTAAACCGTAACATTCCGAATGTTTGCAAGCCAAAGTGGTTAACCTAAATAAAAAAAATTAATTTTATTTGCTTGTGGCTCTTAAAGAGCATTACATAACATTATTTCTAATAACCTTCAACTTATACGTTCGTGGTTTTGCAATGATATTACTCCGTACCATCGTAAGATAATTTCAGGTAGACAATCGATGGTTTTGTGGTTCTAAGGGACTGTAGGGTCGATGTCCATGCAATTGGTTTTCGCAGGAATGGATTTAGGACACAAGAAGATGGTAATGTCCTTAAATGAAAAGAATAAAAATGTGCACCGGGAGAAGTTTCTAGATTTTTTCTAATATATTTGGACCAAAATTGGTCTAAAAAATGAAAAGCATGGAAGTTTCTGGATTCTTTCCATATATTCAGACCAAAACTGGTCTGTATATATATTCATACTTAATTTAATTTAGCTCTAGGATAAAAAATCCCTCAGAGTGCCTATATTCGGACCGATACCAGTCTGTATATATCTATACGGATCGGGATCGGTCCATATATGCCCGTGAACAATAGTTTTTTATTTTTTTTGTTATTTCATGCTTAAGTCGTTTTACTCTCGTTTTAAACTGTAACATTCTGAATGTTTGCAAGCCAAAGTAGTTAACCTAAATAAAAAAAATTAATTTTATTTGCTTGTGGCTCCGAAAGAGCATTACGTAACATTATCTCTAATAACCTTCAACTTATATGTTCGTGGTTTTGTAACGATATTACTTCGTACCATCGTAAAATAATTTCAAGTAAACAATTGATGGTTTTGTAGTTCCAAGGGACTGTAGGATCGATGTACATGCAATTGGTTTTCGCAGGAATGGATTTAGGACACGAGAAGATAGTAATGTCCTTAAATGAAAAGAATAAAAATGTGCACTGGGAGAAGTTTTTGGATTTTTTCTAGTATATTTGGACCAAAATCGGTTTGAAAAATGAAAAGCATGGAAGCTTCTGGATTCTTTGCATATATTCAGACCAAAACCGGTCCGTATATATATTCATATTTAATTTAATTTAGCTCTAGGATAAAAAATCCCTCGGATTGCCTATATTCGGACCAATACCGGTCCGTATATGTCTATACGGACCAAGATCGGTCCGTATATGCCCCTGAACAATAGCTTTTTATTTTTTTTGTTATGTCATGCTTAAGTCATTCTACTCTCGTTTTAAACCGTAACATTCCGAATGTTTGCAAGCCAAAGTGGTTAACCTTAAGAAAAAAAATGAATTTTATTTGCTTATTACTCCAAAAGAGCATTACATAACATTATCTGTAATAACCTGAAACTTATACATTTGTGGTTTTGCAACGATATTATTCAGTACCATTATAAGATAATTTTAGGTAGACAATTGATGCTTTCGTGGTTCTAAGGAATTGTAAGGTCGATGTACATGCAATTAGTTTTTGCAGGAATGGATTGAGGACACGAGAAAATGGTGATGTCCTTAAATGAAAAGAATAAAAATGTGCCCTGTGAATTTTTCCCCAATATATTCGGACCAAAATCGGTCCGAATATATTAATGTGATCCCTTATATTCTAAATACATATACGGACCGAAATCGATCCGTAATTAATTTATGCGCCAAATTTTTACTGTAAATTTGAATCTTTCTGATTCTGCGCTAATTTATTTATATTCAAACCGATTTCGGTCTGAATATTATTAATGCGCCAAAAATTTTCCCGAAAAATTGAAATTTTTTGGTGCGGCGCGCCAATAAGGATTATACGGACCGAAAACGGTCCATATAAGCCTTATATATATCACCACTTCTCTTCCTTTTCCTCATTTTCTCTTCTTCCTCTCTTTCTTTTCCTTTCTTCCTCTCTTTCTTTTCTCTTCTGCCTCCCGTCTCCTTCTTCTTTTTCTTACTTTTTTTTTT